GAGAGAGAGAGAGAGAGAGAGAATTTTTTAATATTTATTTTTCAGTTTTTGGTGGACACAACATCTTTATTTTATTTTATGTGGTGCTGAGGATCAAACCCAGCGCCCTGCGCATGCCAGGAGAGCGCATTACCGCTTGAGCCACATCCCTAGCCCCCCACTCTTTATTCTTATGCACAAGGCAGGAGCCAGGAGGGCACAGAGATCCCAGAGGTGAACAAAGGACAAAGGCCCAGCTTCAGGGCATCTTCGGCAGCCAGGGCTCGCCTGGAGGCCATGGCGGGTGGGGGTAGAGGTCCATCGCGCCTGCTGGGCTCCTGCTCTTGATGCCCCTTCCTGCGCCCCAGGTCTCAGGGCTGTATGACACATCCACTGAGGGTGCCCACTGTGCTGTGCCAAGGAGGCACAGGCTCTGGGCCACCACAGTGACTACTCTGCAGCACACCCGCCCCTCAGACCCTGGAATCGGCTCGTTAAGGCCTGGGAAAGTTCCTAACGGGACTTCAGAGCAGGGCAGCTTACTGCTCACCTCAGTGAGCTGGATTTTGATGCCATCTGCCTTGGCCCTGGCTTCTTGGTCTCTCCGCTGGCTTTGTGGTCTTGAAGGCTGAGCTGACCTTGCAACCTCCAGACTCGGGGTGCGTTACCTTCATTTATGGCCTCGAGAGCTGGTCCACTTTTTAACTCCTGACTTTCAGACATGGCTGTTAACCCCATAAGACTGGGCGCTGCTTACCTTCTCACCTGGCCCCTGGACAGGTGGGACTCCCCCTCTGAAGGGTCCTGTTTCTGTTGCCACCTCCCTGACTGACCTTCCTTTCTCCCAGCTTGCCAGTGCTGCTCTGGGCTCCCCAAGTCCTCTCGGGGTGCAGGGCGGGGAAGGGAAGCGCGTGTTGGGGATGTCCTGAGTGGGGCTCTCGTTCAGTTCATGCCAGGGAGGAGGAAGAAGCTCCAGGAGATCCGGCAGAGCGTCCGCCTGCTCCGCCAGGTTGGCAAGGACTGGGTTCAGCGCCGCAGGGAGGCCCTGACGCGGGGGGAGAAGGTCCCCGCGGACATCCTCACCCAGCTCCTCAAAGGTGCGAGGCTCCTGGGGAGGGCTGGCGGGCGGGCGGGCGGGTGGGCACTGGCTCTTCGCCCTCCCATCACCCTTGACCCTTCGTCCCCAGCGGCTTCAAAGGAGACAGGCAGCCCGGGTGACCCGGGACTGACAGGTTTCCTTGTCCTGCAGCTGAAGAGGGAGCCCAGGACGATGAGGTTCTGCTGGACAACTTTGTCACCTTCTTCATTGCTGGTTTGTACCTCCCGGGTGGCCCAGGCTCAGAGTTCTGCAGGAATGGTGGGCACTGCTGGTCACTTAACCCTGGCCTGAGAGATTTTGCAGGATCTCCGAGCACAGTCCCGCCGCGGGTCTGGGGGGGCTGTCTTGGTGACCTCGGTTTTGACTTGCTCACAGAGCTGGCACCTGTGGGCGGGCTTGGTGTGAGGGTTCAGGGTTTCCCCTTCCTCAGAATTGGTGAGGCGTCCTTCGTATAGATGGCACAAACAGACATGCTGACGACTTTGTTTATTTGCTCATCAAATGTACCTTGAGTGTCACTGCCCACTGGAGAAGTCCTCCACCCCTCCAGGAGCCCTCAGCTGCCTCTTCCTCAGGGAAGCCCTCAGTGATTGCCCAGGCTGCACCTGCCCCCGGAGCTGCCCACGACGCCCAGAGCCTCTCTCTGCCTGTCCCAGTGTTAAGCTGCATTTTTACCTGCAGTAATTCAACAAGGTCTGTCTCCCCAGGGGACAGCACATTCCTCTGCGTCTCCAGGTCCAGGGTAGTGGTGCCCACACAGCCTGGATGAAATGAATGATCAAATGAATGAATGCTGGGCACTGGGGACCAGCTGAGGCCAGCTGGCAGTCCAGTGCAGAGACGGGCCGAGGCCTCCTGTTGGATGGGGAGCTGTGCCGCAGGGACGGGGTAGAGAGGCTCCTGGGGGTGGGGGGAGAACCCCAGAGGCTGCAGGGAGGGAAGCACCTGCTGAGTGAGTGGCTTCTATCTTTCTTTCTTTTCTTTTCTTTTCTTTTTTCTTTTTTTTTTGGTACTGGGGATTGAACTCAGGGGCACTGGACCATTGAGCCTCATTCCAGCCCTGTTTTGTATTTATTTAGAGACAGGGTCTCACTGAGTTGCTTAGCACCTTGCCTTTGCTCAGGCTGGCTTTGAACTCGTGATCTTCCTATCTCAGCCTCCCAAGCCTCTGGGATTACAGACGTGCACCACCACATCTGGCACGAATGGCTTCATTTTTTCCCACCAGGAACCCAGGCCCTGAAGGAGCTTCTGGAGTGGCCTGGGCTTCAGTCTCCACATCTGTAGATGGGGGCTGGAGGTGCTCTCCAAGCTTGGGCACAGCCTTCCAGTGAGGGCCGGATAACCCCCTCCTGTCCTCAGCCCACCCTGAGCCCTGCATCTGCTCCAGGGCTCTGAGAGAGGGCAGGCAGGTGTATTTCTCCTTCCATGTGCCTGAGAGGAAACAGGCCCAAGAGGGAAGCACCCCTGGAGGGACAGTGGTCAGTGCAGAGGCATGCCCAGGGCAAGACCTGGCTGTGGGGCTGGCCCCCTTCCTACCCAGGACCCGCAGCCTCACTTCCCAGGGCTTGCTTGCTGTGTTGTGGCTGGGCTGGATAGTAGTGGCCCCCTGGGAAGCCCCCCACCTCCAAGCATCTGCAACTCCCACGTTCCTTCCAGTGGCAGCTGGGAGGATCCAGACCCCCTCAATTGCGCCAGGGCTGCTAGAGCTCAAAATCAGCCCCCAGGAAGCCTACCCTCTGGCTGGGGTTCTCCCTATCACTCCTGGACTAGAGGCTCCTCCCTTGCTGGACCTCGGACACATTCTTCTCAGCTCTAGCTTGCCTTTCTGCAATATGGGGGTGAGCACCCTCCACCCCTCCAGGCCCTGAAGCTCCAAGATGGCTGGAGGGAGGAGCTTTTCGAACCCATAGCTGGACTCTGGTACTTGCCGATGCTGACTGGCACAGGAATGTCTCCTGCATATTCCATCCCTGGGGGACAGATGGGCTTCTAGGAGCCTGGGGTCTTGGAAGCCAGGTGGCCAGCAACCCCATGGTCCCATGTGGCACAGCTGCCCTTCTTCCTTCCTGCAGGTCACGAGACTTCTGCCAACCACTTGGCCTTCACGGTGATGGAGCTGTCTCGCCAGCCTGAGATCGTGGCAAGGTAGGAGAGCTGCACTTGGGGCTGGAAAAGGTTTTTTCCTGATGTCTTGTTTCTGAAGGCTACCTGCCCCCAATTCCAGTGACAGAAACCCTCCAGTGTACCCTTCTTCTCTCTGCCCCAGAGCCTTTGCACTTGCAGTTTCCTCTTCTGGAAGGTCTGTTTCTGCTTTTCTACCAGAAACCACCCCCACCTCCCTCCAGCAAACCCTTCTCAGATCCCAAAGCAGCCATGTGCTCCCCTCCTGGCCTCCCCCCAGCAGCTCACAAATATGCTTCCTCCTGGGACTGTTGGCTTCGGGTCTGTTTCCACCAGGAGACCAGAAGCTGCAAGAACTGTGGTTCTATCGGTCCCTACGCGTACCGGGCTCCACTGGCACTGAGGACACGGCAGCATTCTATCTGAAGTGCTTCAGTTGGCAAGGACAGGAGGGTGTCCCTGGGGAGAGGGGACTGGAGCTGGGTCAAATTTCCCTTGGTTTCCTTGCCATCAGGTGGACAGACAGGTGCATGAAAGCATCTGATTGTACCTGGCTGGGGGCTGGCAGAGCCCTAGTGACAAGTGTGGCCCCTCACTAGCGTGACAGGTAGGAAGGAAACGAGACTATGACAGAGACTATGTGGCTTTAAAATGTATAATAGTAATGAGAACTTCACAGGACAAGTTCAGGGCGTGGGCTGTGGCTCAGTGGCGGAGCCCTTGCCGGGCACTCGCAGGCCCTGGGTCTGATCCCAGCACTGAAGAAACCACGGAAAAGACATCAAAGTTAAAATAATACTGGTGGTAAGGCGCCGGGGTGTCCCCTCCGAGGCAGTTCCCGCGGTGGCTGGGTTCCCTTCTGCACCTCCCACTCCGCACGCAAAACTCCATGCCCTCCCTGGGTCCCGGGGCCTGGCTGCTGTCCACCCTCGCTGGGCTCCGGGGCCTGGCTGCTGCCTGCAGGGTCTTGCCATCTTACGGGCACGTTATGGAGCAGAGTTCACTTGTGATGTTGGTCCATCTCCAGGACCTTGTCACCTTCCCAACCCGAAACTGTCCCCTTGAGCAGCGCCCTCGGAACCTCCCCAGCCTCCACCACCCTCATCCTTCCCTGGGCCTGATGCAGCCTTCTGGGGGCTGCCGCCGCCTTGGTCTGTCTGTGGCCGGCTTCTCAGCAGTGGCCTCCTCCGCGCAGCCGCAGGGTCGTTTCCTCCCCTTGGAAGTGAACCATGGGCCTAGATGGACGCCGGGCTCTCCCTCATCTGTCCCGTGCTTCCACCTTTGGTTCACCGCAAATTAATGCCAGGTCTTCATAGTCCAGGGGCTCGGTGGCCTCTGTAGTTACTGCCTTGGGACGCATCCCGGAGCGCCATTGCCCGGTTACATGGCGACTCCATTTGTAACCTTTTGAGGCCTGGCCATGCTGCCTTCCCTGGCAGTCACCCTGTTGTCTGTCCCCACCCACAGTGCACAACGCTCCGTGTCTCTCGGCCTCAGGAACAGGAACCTCGCGGGCAGCTGTCCCAGTGCCGGGCTGGAGCCCAGGGCCTTGGGCTCACTGGGCAGGGGCTCCCATCTCAGCGCGCCCCATGTTACCCCAACCGCATGCACCCAGACTTGTTCGCAGGCCCTCGCACCACTGTGTTGGCTGCCATCACCAGGCCCTGCTGGACCTGGGGCCGACTCCAGCACGGGCGTTGGTGTCTGGGCCCCTGGGACACAGCTCCCGGTGCTCGATGGCGGCCGGCACATGGGCACTGTGGGCAAGGAGTCTCTCTGGGGACAAACTTGCCTCTTTCTTACCTACAGGCTGCAGGCTGAGGTGGACGAGGTGGTCGGTTCCAAGAGGCACCTGGACTATGAGGACCTGGGGAGACTGCAGTACCTGTCTCAGGTGTGGGGTGTGCCAAAGAAGCTTTGGGGCAAATGTGGGCCATTTGTCGAGTCAGACTGCTGCCTCCGGGGACCCTTTAGTACAGTAGTTCCCAAATCAGTAGTGTCCCTGAGAACCCTCTAGGAGATTTCATGCCTCTCTCGGGCCTCAGCTGCCCCCACACTAATGACAGCAGAGGGGAGGGGCTCCCAGGCAGTCCCACCATGCAGCTCAGGCTGGACACTGGCCCTTGGTGGGGGGCGCCACTTCTCACGCCTGGGCCCATAAGCCTGGGCTTCCCTCCTGGAGCCAGGCTCAGCAGACTCCAGGCCACTCCGATGGGCACCCCAGGAGGCCCAGCCAGGCCTGCTGGCTGCACAGTAGCCTCAGGCCCTGGTTCTCGGCAGGCAGGAACCCTGGCTTCTGGTCCCGCCTCTGCCGCTGTGGCCTTGTACAACTCCCTTCTCTGGGCCTCCATGTCTCATCAGTCACATGAGGAGCTGGTTGACCGTCCTGGGCTCAGGGACTCAGGGCTGGGCTGTGGGTGCACTTTAGCCCCATGGGCAGGACTGAGTTGAAGGCAGGGCTTGTGCTGCACGTTCCCTGGGACTTTCTGACCTCTCTATTGGTGTGTCCTATACTTCTGAAGGTCCTCAAGGAGTCACTGAGGCTGTACCCACCAGCGTGGGGCACCTTTCGCTTGCTGGAGGAGGAGACCTTGATTGATGGGGTCAGAGTCCCTGGCAACACTCCACTCTTGGTGCGTAGGGACTCTGGGGGGGGCTGGCCTGCTGGCTCCCGTGGTGGCCAGTTTGGAGCTCTGTACTGCAGCAGGGACATCCTCGGGCCCAAATCATCTTTGCACTGGGCTCTCCTGGCTGCCCTGAGCTTTTTCCTTTGAGTCTCATTGTGACCCTGTGAGGTCTTTTTTACCCAGTCCAGTTTAAGATCATGGTGGATAATTCCGAAAGGGAGGTCCTATATATACAGCTGAAGACACTGAGGTTCAGAGAGATTAGGTCACTTTCCTGGGGTCACTCAGCTGGTGAACAGGAGATGTGGGATGTGCCTGGATTCCCATCTGACCCAAACTTGCCTTAATCCCCTCCCCCTGTTTCATAAGCCCTCTCCTGCCAGTCAGCGTCCGCCTGCCACCCTCTGTGTGTTCCTGGGATGTGCCAGGATGTTTCTCTGTGTGTCTGTCCTTGGTGTAGCCATTCAGGCATCCGTTTATGTAAGGACCTTCCTAATCCACTGCCACCACCCATCTGTGTGTGCACCATTCTCCGCACCCCAGGAATGGTCACTTGTCCTGAGTTTTGTGTTTGCCATACCATGTGTGTGTGCATGTGTCCCCACGTGGTGGCGTGTTGGAGGACAGCTGAGCTCGGTGTGGGCTTCTCCCTGAGGCTGTGGATCGTCCACTTTTGCTGCTGTGTGAGGTCTGCTAAATGCACAGGCCACCCTGCTCCTCAGTATTGGGCCAGGGGCGCGGGAGGGGCTTCCTGGGGTCACTCAGCTGGTCACTACCTTGAATACCACGTGGCTATGTTTCTGCCTCCCATGTCCCTCACCACATGGAAACGTGTTCTGGGCTATGTCCAGGAGGGGCAGGGGCATGGGACACGTGGGAGTTCAGCTGAACAGGTGGCCCAAAGTGCTTGCCCGCCTGGTCCTGCTGACCAGGATGTGCCTAGGACACAGCTCATCCTCCCTCAGCCTCCCTGGCACTTACATGGTGTCCTATGTTTTATTTTTTGCAATCAAATAAGCATAAAAGTATTTCCCAGCGGTCTTGATTTGCACTTCCCTGATCCTGGGGAGGTGGTACGTCCCTACACTGCTTTGTCTCTTCTGTGAGATGCTGACTCGGTTTCCCCTTCTGGGTTGGTTGACTTTAAGAAAGCCCATAGTCATCTGTTGTCTGTTACATGCATGGCAGTCATCGCCCCCCAGACTCACGGTTTGTCTTCACGAATGTGTTTTTGATGATCTGAAGTTTTTACATTTTCAGTGATTCGTTTTTTCACTTTGTGCTGTTGAAGGAAAGCTTCCCTATCCTGGCTTCCAAAGGCTGCTCCCTTCCTCCTGTTCACTTCACCAGTTTCCATGTTTATTTTGAGGGTTAAGCTCTTGGCCGTGTGGAGTGCTTGTGTGTGTGGCTGTGAGGTAGGGATCTGCACTCTGTGTCGCGGCTGCCATGGTGAGGTGGACAGGGGGCCACTGAGTCCACAGAGCGAGCGGCCTCACAGCAGTCCTGAAGGCTGAAGCCCAACATCAGGTGTGCGCAGGGCTGGCTTCTCCCAAGGCCTGTCCCCGTGGCTCATTGACGTCATCTCCTGGCTGTCCTCACATGGTCGTCCCTCTGTGTGTCTGTGTCCTGGTCTCCTTTTCTCGTAAGAACACCAGTTGCATTGGACGAGGCCTACCCTAATTCCCTAGGTTTAACTTAATGACCTTTTAAAAGCCCCTTCTCCAAATACAGTCACATTCTGAGGTTGGGACTTCAGCCTGTGGATTTGGAGGGGGCACAATTCACCCATAATAAGACCCATTTTTGTTTGTGTGGAGGACGATGCGCTCTGGTCCCCTGGGCTGCCCAGCCTCCTCTAGTGTATGTCAAAGCCTCATTCCCCATTCTTCATTCTGTTTGGCTGGTCATTTCTTCCATGCCTCTGGACCAAACCACTCCAGCTGAGGGCCTTCTCAATAGCTGGCCCGTCCCTCAGGCAGAGCACACCTGCAGCTGCTGCTCCCCCTGGCAGCCCAAGGCCCGTGAGCTTGCACAGGCAGACCCAGCTCCCACTGGCACCTGGCTCCCTGGCCATCTCCGTCACCTCGGCCTGGTCCATCCTTGCAGGTTGGGGACAGTGGTGCCTGCATCCCAGGCAATTGAGAAGATCCAGTAGGATAAGGTACATCCCAGGTGGGGCACAAACCCCTGGACTGGGGGTGCCCTTGACCCCAGCCCCAACTCCCCAAAGCTGCCCCCACTTTCTGGAGTTCAGCACCAGCCTCCCTCCATCACCCTAGGCTCTTGGCACAGAGAAGCAGGGGTGGGCCAGCTTAGGGAGACACTGTCCAAGGGGGAGAGAAGCAGAGGCCAGTTCCCGAGGCCCAAATTTTGGGAGCACATTGCTTTACCAGGGCCAGAGGCACTGCCCCCAAAGGCCAAGGCACAGGGGAAGCGTCAGCTCCCAGCAGGAGATGCCACCAGTACAGGTTCAAGGCTGGAGGTGGCTGCAGCCTCCACCCCACCCTAGAGGGGAAGCAAGAAAGAACCCGAGGAGCAGCAGCTCCCAGGAGCCAGAGGGACAGCCTCGCAGGCCGGATTGCGAATCTCAGGGGCTGTTTATCTTCTGGGAGACTCCAGAGAGGTATTGAGCCGCTCTCTGAGCCTCAGTTTCCTCATCAGGAAAACAGGGGTACCTGTAGCTCCCACGAGGCTGCACCTGGTCCAGCTGGCAGTGCAGACTGTCCCCTTTCTTCCCTTCAGAGGCTCTCTGGGGTCTCGTGGAACCCCATTCCTGCCTAATGGGTGGGGAGGGAGGTGCTGCTCTTCCCACAGTCACCCCGTGGGCGCCGCGGTGGGGGAGGGTGTGAGCCGTGAAGCAGACCAGCTCCTCTCCGGCAGTTCAGCACCTACGTCATGGGGCGGATGGACACCTACTTTGAGGATCCACTGACTTTCAACCCCGATCGCTTCAGCCCTGGAGCCCCCAAGTAAGTCCCCCATCCAGTGCCCTGAGTGGGAGAGGGGCCATCACAGCAGCCTCTGGTCCGGGCCATGAGCCACCTGTACTCACAGAGTCCTCACGGCTCCCAAATCCCTGTGAGGTAGCAGGGAGGAAGTCACAGCTCAGAGAGGCCAGGCAGGCCACGGGTGGAGCTGGTGCTTGGCCCCAGTCAGCCTGACTCTCACACCGCTCGGAACCAGCACCCTGGACGGGGATGCCACATGACCTGGCCAGCACCTCCCTTCCCCGCCTCACAGCTCCTCCCGGGAGGTGGGAGCCATGAGGTCTGGAGACAAGGGGACAGTGCATTGATGTGTCAGAGCAGCTGTGAAGAGCTGAGCTCCAGGGACAGGCCCTGAGGTCAGACCCAGAACCAGAAGAATGACCTTGGGCCAGCTGCTCTGCCTCTGAGCCTCAGTTTCTCCCTGTGTGAATCAGCACCATGGCAGCCCCTTCTGGGAGGGTCAGGAATGGGGCTGTGGGGAAAAGCAGGTCCAGAGTCCGGCAGGAGTCCCAGCTGAGGTCTTGTGCCCCTGGCAACAGACAGCCACCACGGCTGTGCGCCCCGCCCACCACGGGCCTCTCCTCCCTGCAGGCCGCGCTTCACCTACTTCCCCTTCTCTCTGGGCCACCGCTCCTGCATCGGGCAGCAGTTTGCTCAGGTAGGAGGGCAACTGGGCCTCTCCCACCCCTCTCTGGGTCCTGGAGGGCAGGAGGTTAGCTGGGGGCTATCGCCCCAGCTGGCTGCTTGTCTGGCTCACTGTCTTTCCTCTTCCCCCTCCCTCCCTCATTCCCTCGGCTTGGCTCTCCCTGCACCCACCCCCAACCCAGATGGAGGTCAAGGTGGTCATGGCCAAGCTGCTGCAGAGGCTCGAGTTCCGGCTGGTGCCCGGGCAGCGCTTCGGGCTGCAGGAGCAGGCCACGCTCAAGCCACTGGACCCTGTGCTCTGCACGCTGCGGCCTCGGGGCTGGCAGCCCGCGCCCCCACCCCCGCCCTGCTGACGGGGCTCTGGGCAGCATGGGACTTCTCGGGCCAGGCCACTTGCCTCCTCTGCTGCCCACAGCCGCCCACCTGTGCCCCTGCCCTGTCCCCTGGCACCCTCCATGCTGGTTCCCAGGGGACCCTCTGCCATGCCTGCTTCTCACCCCTCACCCCACTGCTGTCCACAGCTCTTGGCGGGACTTGGGCCCTGCGTCCCCCCAGCTGCTGCCAGTGTTGCCCCTGCCTCCCAACCTCTGCACTGGCCACTCCCTCAGACGACACACCCTAACTCTTGCTCACTCCCTAAGATCCTCTTCAAGTGTCACCTACCCTGAGAAGCCCTCTCTGCCACCCCCGGCCGGGCCAGGGGCCCCTCTTCTGTGCTCCCTCAGTCACCTGTGCTACCTCTAACACCACACTGACCACACTGTATCGTGAGTGCCCGCTGATGTGACCCACTGCCCTGCCAGGCTTCGAGCGCCTCGGGGGCAGGTTCTGTTGTGCTTCGCTCTGAGCCCCTGTGGCCATCCAGGGCCTGCACAGAGTCGATGCCAATAAACATGTGTTGACTGCATGAATGAGCTGCCCCCTCGGCCAGGGACCCGCCTCAGTGGGCTCACCTGCATGAGGGGGGATGTTGAGCTGCTCTCGCTCAGGACTGGCACCGCTCTGGAAGCTGCTGGTCAGATGCCCCCAGAGAAGCCCGCCCAGGTGACCCAAGGGCCCTGCGTTAGTGGAAGCCAGTTCACTGCGTTGTGTAGAAGACCAAGGCCCGGGTGCTGCGTGGGGTTGGGATCACAGGCTTGAGAGCTGGACTCGAAGGGGTCAGGGCCAGGCCTTTCTGGAAGGGTCTTGGTGAAGCCGGACAAATATACCTGTGTGCACCTGAGGGCACTGCTGCGTCTGCTGGCCTGGCCGGGGGAGGTGACTGCAGCAGCCCCAGGTTGGGGGACTGTTACCTCCAGGGTGTCGGGGTGGAAGAAGCCATCCCTTCCTCCCCAGCCTAGGGTGGCCAAGGGGCAGTAAATCCTGGGCAGGACATGCCCTCTGGGTCTGTCCAGGGAAAAGGACCTGCCCAAGTTCCTCCTTCAGCTTTTGGAGCTTATCTATGAACAAAGACAAAAAACTCCCTTAGCCCCTGCCTGGTGTCTGTCCCCAGGAAGGCCCCTCTGCGCCCCAGGGCAGGCATGGGCTGGTGCCATGCTGTCTCCTTTGGTCCTTGTCAGTCTTGAATGACAGCTCTGAGGGACCTTCCCACTGAGCAGATAAGGTAACAGGCTCGGGGGCAGAAGCGACATGTTCAGGTGGGCTTAGGGTGGGGCTGGGTTCCATGTTTGTTTCTCTCCTCAGCCCAGGGGCATCATGGGCACCCACACAAGTAGTTCTGCTGCAGCCTCTGGGCAGCGGCTCACTCCTGGCCAGGTGTGGCCCTCCTGCTCCTCAGTGCCATGCCAGACCACCTGAGCACCTGGCCATCTGAGCTGCCCTCCCCAACCCCTCTGTTCCCTCCCTGGGGCCCTTGCACCCCCTGCCCACTCTGGGAATGGCCTGCCTAGGTTTGGCCTGTGTGCTTGGCCAAAGCCACTTGTGCTTGTCATCTCTGCCCAGAAGCAGCCCCTTCCCATGGCCACTCTACATGGGCCCCTCAGCCCTGCACTGCTTCCCCACCTCCCCTGCTGTGACCTCCCCTCACTGTCCTTGGCAGTGCCATGCCAGCCCCTTGACCAAGTCCACGCCCTCTGCTTCCTGCCATGGTTGAGCCTGGCCCCACAGAATAGTACCTCTCTTGCCATCTACCTGAAAGGGTCACAGTCACCAAGGTGCAGCATTGCAGGGCACAACTGGCATCCTCTGGAGGAGCCAGCTCCTGCTGGGAACATCAGGTCGCCAACTTTGCCATCTCCTGGTTTAGCAGGTGTCCAGCCAGTGCTGATCCAAGTCCTCACACTTTCTCACATGCTCAGAGGCTGGGGGTATAAGTATGTGCCATTTCACAGGCAGAGAAGTAAGGCCACGGCCAGGCAGGATGCCCTTTGCACCCCGAGGTGGTCCATAGGCCCAGCAGGCAGCAGCACTGCTGGCCTGGGCTTGCCCTCAGCATTGGAACCCCAGGGCTGGAGGGGGCAGATGACAGGGATAGCCTGTCACCCCACCCTGGCTCTCCTCTGCCTGTGTTGGGGCCAGCATGTCCTGGCCATCCAGTGCCATTCTTATGCCACAGAATGGGCCATTTGTGAGGGCCGGGTGCTCTCAGTCCCGGTTTCATGGAAGGGTTGTACAGGCTGGGAGCCTTGGCATCTGGGGTGGGGCCCAGAAACTTTTCTTTTTAGGCTTGCCCGGGCTCCTCCCCATGTGCGCTGGCTGGTGCCACTCGCCCAGGTGGAGCTTGTGGCTAGGGCCCAGGTAGGGTGGATGGGATTGAACCCCAAGCTCGGAAGCCAGACAGCCTGGAATCCGGCCTCGCCTGTCTGTCACTGCCATGCAGTTTGGACCCCAGTTTGCCATCTGTAAGGGAGGACAAGTAATAGGACTCATTTCTGAGGGTTGGCGGGGGACTTAAAAGAGTTCACACGTGGACCGCGCTTGGCACTGAGTGAGCCAGCTCAGCTCAAGACCTGCCGGCTGTGATTGGTCTTTGCTGCCTGATAGCGGCAGGGAAGGGAGTGCTCTCTGTCGTTCCCCGTGAGGCCGCACGGGGGCGCCCCGGCGCAGCGCTCGGAGGCAGAGTGGGCGGTGCCTTCTGCGCCCCGCGGGTCGGGGCTGGGACTGGCGGGCCCCAGGGGACCAGCCCCGCGGACGCCTGCGTAGCCTCCTGCAGTAGGGGCGGGGGCGAAGAGGCACAAGCCAGAAACCCGCGCGGGTTGGGGTGGGCCTGCGTCTCCGTGTCACAGGGGGGCGGCCACCGAGGCGCGGCGAGATGGCCAGGCGAGCAATACCTGGGCGCGCAGAGGCACGGCCACCAAGCTGGTGGTCTCCCATCGCTGCGTGTGGGCACCGTCCGGGTCTGGCGGTGGGACTCTGGCAAGCGGGCAGAGGGGAGAGCCGCCGTGGGAGCGGACCGGGGCCACCGGAGCAGAGAGCTTTGGGTAGACACGCTCAAAGGGGAGGTCGGGAGTGCCCCCCCTCACCCCAGGCAGCTCTGGAGAGTCCCGTGCCCACCCGGCCTTCTCCTCCCTCCCGTGTGACTTGGGCAGTGGGCCTTTTCTGCAGGTTCCCTCGCGTGGAAACCTGAGTGCAGGATGTGGGGAGGCGCAGTACTTTGGATCTGCACCCCTGACTGTGCCTCCTCAGCACCCAGCTGCTGCCATTCCTAGGGGACCCCCGAAAAGGGACTCTGAAATGACCCAGCTATCCCAGCCAGCTGGCTAGTAGCCCAGGCTGGGCTAGGGGTGACCTCAGGGACCTTGGCCTGCAGGGATGGGTGAGTCTTGATCTAGCCTGAAAAGGTGGGATTTTCTTCCTTTCTGCTCTGGGTCCTGGGTTGGTGGCCCTCCTCCGCCAATGTGGGTGGACTGAGGCTGTGCCCCATGGTCCCAGCAAATAGCTGCCTACCTAGAAGGTTCTGGATGGGGTCTTGTTAGGGAGCCTGAGCTGGCTTCTCCTGGCAGTCATGGTCAAGAAGGCACTGAGTTCTTTACAGTGGTCCAGAGTCAGGAGGGTCACAAGGGTTGGGTGACTCATAAATCCACATCCACCCTGGCCTCTGCTGGGCTTGGGACAACCTCCCATCTCTGCCTGGATGTCCATAAGTAACTCCAACGGGATGTTGGACAGACACAGGGGCTACCTGGGGCTTGGGTGTGGGGATACTTGAGGGAGGGGCATGTCTCTGAAGCAGGGTCATGGAGGGGAGAGTCATGCCCACTTTTACTGGAGTATTAAAAACATTGATTTCTTCTAGAGCAAGCCCCTTACCTGTAAGTCCTTCTAGCTTATGGAAACCATAGTCATACCCTTGGCACTGTCCTCTGTGGGCAGCCCCTACTGGCCAGTCAGACCCTGGGCAGCCAGGTATGCCCACCCCAGCCAGAGGCCCAGCCTGGGAGTTCTCCCTGCCAAGGAGAGTGACAGGTGGAAAGGGCAGCTTGACAAGGGGTTGGGTCCTGGAGGAGGCCCAGGCCCACTGGAGCTGCCTCACTGGGCAGCACCCACCCTGGAGGGGCCTGGGCAGGGGAGGGGGCAGCTGCAGCAGGAGACCTGCCCTTCCAGAGGGCCAGGGAGAGTTCCAGGTCCATGCTGGCAGGACAGGGGCACAGGGCCATCTCCATCCTGCTCCTCTCCTCGGGCTCAACTCTGATGGTTTGGCTTTGGTGGGCCCCAGGGGGTGACAGCAGCTGTGTGGCCCCCTCAATCCCTATCCCAAGGGCAGGGCCTATGTGGCTTGGGTGGCCCTGGTACCAGGGAAAGAGCTAGCCCCTCCCTGGGTAAGGAGGAGCATTGATACTGATGGAGGGGCACTTACCTCTGTTGAATACCTGCCACGAGGCCAGCCTGACCGGCTGCTCTGTAACCCAGGGACCCTGTGACACAGACAAGGGGTCGTGCCCTCTCCCTGTGCCAGAGGGCAGAGGCACAGCCCCCAGAGCCTCATTCTGCTATGGAGCCTGAGAGTTTGAGCCTGGGAGGCCTTCCTGCCAGCTCCTGTCCCCCTTCACTAATGACAATGTCTTTTTTGCTTCCACCCCAGATATGAGGAGTTATCCCCAAGGGACCCAGGAGAGTCCCACTTTTCACACCCCAGGGACACTCAGTGCAGCTGGAGGGGCCTCTCAGGCTTCTTTCCTGGCTGGGAGCCTGGAGTCTGGGAGGGTTGTCCAAGGCCACCCAGGTGGCGATCAGCTTAGGGGTATCTGGGCTGGGGAGGGAATTAATTCCCACGCTTTGCTGGAGTGTGTGTGTGTGTGTGTGTGTGTATGCATGTGCACACACGTGTGCTCCTTTTGTGTCCATATTTGTGTGCAATCCGTGGCGGGGTGTGAGGTCCACATGTATGGACCCCTGTGTGTGAGCATTACATGGGCAGCAGCTCTTGTCTCCCTGTGTCTCACTGTGTTCCCATGGTCCCTGTCTCTGGGTGGCAATGTGTATGCGGGGCTGCATGCCTGAGTCACGTGTGTCCGAGTCACGTGTGTCTGAGTCACGTGTATGTGTGTGTGCAGATGCGTGCCTGTGTCTCAGGCTCAGGGCTCTCCCTGGGCTGCAGGGGGCATCTGTTCTGGCCTGAGGCTGTGGAAGTCGTGCCAGTGTCACTGGCCAGGCCCTCGAGGAGCTTCAGGCATCCCATCCTCCTGCCATGTCCGGTGGCAGGCGGCCTGCCCAAGGCCACACCTAGCAGGCGTGGTCCCACTCAATACGGCCTGTCCTTCCAGTCATGGCCACCAAGGCCCCACCTGAGGTTCCATGTTCACCCACCATCCTGCCCCTATTTACAGAGGAACCAAAGGCCCAGGGAGAGGGGTGCCACCAGGGAGGAGGCGTGGGACTCCTGAGGTGGGGACGGCCTGTGCGTTGGCGGGGATGGGAAGCGGGGCCCTCGCCAACCTGCCTCATTTGGACGCCCAGCTTGGGGCCGGCCCCA